CAGGCGGGCGGCGTCGGGCGTCGGTGAGGACGATGAGGAAGGCCGACGCCAGTTGGTGTAGAGGCTCGGTGGCGGCGGCGGCGGGCTCGGTGGCGGCGGTGGCGGTCTCAGTGGCGGTGGCGGCGAGGGAGGACGACGGCGGCGAAGTAGGAGTTGGCGGCGGCGCTAGGGTTCTAAGGAGGCGGGAAACTGTAGCGGGACTTAGAAAAAATTTTCGATCCGATCTGAGAAACCCTAGTTATAGTAGAGTGATGAGTCATCTCTATCGGGCTTTGCCGTAGGGCCCGTCACAGATGACTCATCGGTGACGGGCTCCATACTAATGCCTGATTGAGATGACATTTAGGCCCGTCACGGATGACTCATCTGTGACGGGCCCTAAGATAATGCCCGATAGAGATAGATTAATCTCTATCGGGCTTTAACTAAGGCCCGTCACCGATGATTATTTTTCCATTTTTCCAAACAAGTCTTTATATTTATGCGTACAAAATATATAGCTGCTGTATAATAATTCATTTTATTAGTCATAATATATTTTCAGATACTAAATGATTTCAAATCGAAATATGGTGAACAACAAAATTGTAGAGATTACCAAGATCTACAACTTTTATTTTGGTCATTTGTAATAAAACAAAATTAGCCATATTAATGACTACACATATCAAGTCTTTGCAATAAAACAATAAAACAAAATACTCCATTCATTACAATAGATAAGTACAAATGCATCAGTCACAAGGTTATGCCTTCCGTATGATCTGAACGAGCATATGCCACAGGCTCTTGGGGATCATCGTCACAGTCAATGTGAGGTCTTACATGAAGATTATGGTTGTATTCTTCTTCATCGACGACGTTGTCAACTCCTACAATTCGGCGCTTTCCATCCCTCACGATGTGCATCTTCTTGTTTGAAGGGTCTTTTATGTAGAATATCTGCTCGACCTGTTTCGCAAGTACAAATGGTTCATCGGCGTATCCCACCTTTGATAGATCTACTAAAGTGAAACCTTCCTTGTCGGCTTTGACACCAGTGCGTAGATTCACCCAACGGCAGCGGAACAAAGGAACCGTGAACTTGACGTAGTTTAGCTCCCAGATCTCCTCAATGCGGCCGTAGTATGTGTTTGACCCAACTTGATCCTGGAATGCATCTATACGGACGCCGCTGTTTTGCACTGTGCTTTTGTCATCTTGTTTGACGGTGTAAAATGTGTATCCATTTATATCATATCCTTGCCATGTGTCTACGGTCTAAGACGGTCCCATCCCCAACAACTGTACTGTCTCATTTGGGACATCCGTGGACATTGTCACACGATTCTTGAACCATTCGTTGAACCGAGAATTATGTTCTCTGTTAATCAATGCATCAGATCGCCCCAAGTTCTCATCTCGGATTTTCGCTAAGTGCTCCTCAAAGTATGGGCCAACTTCTGTTATATGTTGGAGCACAACGTAATGAGCCTGCGCGTACGACGTTTGATCTGGCCTAATTCTTTTCCTTCCGATTGTGCCAACACCTGACAACCTTCCCTCGTGACGAGACGCAGGAACTCCGATAGGATCGGCATCGGACATGTAATTGACACAGAACTCAATAGCCTCCTCGGTCGTGTAACCTTCAATGATGCTCCCCTCGGGTTTAGCTCTGTTACGAACGTACGACTTCAGAACTCCCATGTACCTTTCAAACGGACACATTTCCCTTAGAAAAGCCGGGCCACATAGTTTTGTTTGCTTCACCATATGAACAGGGAGATGAACCATTATATCAAAGAAAGACAGTGGGAAAAACATCTCCAGGTGACAGAGGGTATTCACAATATCGGTCTGCAACCCATCTAGATCTTCTGGATCTATAACCTTCTGTCCAATTGCATTGAAGAAGGAGCACAGACGTTGGATCGTGTGACGCACTTTCGGTGGTAGAATGCCTCTGATAGCAACTGGCAAGATTTGTGTGATTAGCACGTGGCAATCGTGAGACTTCATTCCAACAAGTTTTAGATCGTCCAATTTAACATACTTACTTATCCTCGCTGAATAGCCCGATGGAACTTTAATATCCTTCAAGCATGATAACATTGCGATCTTCTCATCCTTTGACAATGTGTGGCAGGCTGGAGGAAGGTACACTCTACCTGTCTCTGCATCTCGTATGGGCTGGAGTTCACTGCAAATATTCATGTCCTGTAGATCAAGGCGCACGTTCAACCCGTCCTTTGTCTTCCCGGGAATATTCAACATCAGGCCAACCAAACTCTCACACACATTCTTTTCTACATGCATGAGATCAATGCAATGACGAACATCAAGATCTTTCCAATAAGGTAGCCGCCAAAATATGGATTTTTTCTTCCACATACCCTTCTCCTTTGTCTTGCTACGTTTTCTTTTCTTCCCAAACTCATTGCTTATGTCCTTGACCATATTGTGGACCTCATCTCCGGACAAATCTTTGGGAGCAGGCTGAAGTTCTCTCTTACCGTTAAAAATTTTCTTCTTTCTTCTAAATGCATGACGTAGCGGGAGCCACCTCCGATGACCCATGTATACCATCTTTCGTGATTTCTTCAGCCACCGGCTTCGTGTATGTTCCTTGCAATTGGAGCATGCCTTCTTTCCTTTTATAGTTTGTCCGGAAAGATTACCGAGTGCAGGGTAGTCATTAATGGTGCACAACAATAGAACTCTTAGCTTGAAGTTCTCCTGACCATATGCATCCCAAGTTTCCACACCTTCTTTCCAAAGAATCTCCAGATCGTCGATAACAGGCTCCAGGAATACATCCATATCATTGCCGGGTTGCCTCGGACCTTGGATTAACAAGCACAACATAATATATTTCCGTTTAAAGCATAACCATGGCGGGAAGTTATAGTTCGCAATAAGAACTGGCCAAGTGTTGTGAGTACTACTCATGTCACCGAAAGGATTCATGCCATCCGTACACAGACATATCCTCATGTTTCTAGGGTCGGCAGCAAAGTCTTTGTGTTTTCGATCGATATTCCTCCATTCAATCGAATCCGCTAGGTGTCTAAGCATATCGTAATTCTTTCTCTCCGTGGCGTGCCAACGTACTAACTTCGCTTCGTTGGGGTTGGCAAAGATTCTCTTGAAACGATCAATGATAGGTAGATAACACACAACCTTTGCTAGACCACCCCTCTTTGACTTCTTTCCTTCGTCAGCACTTTTCTTTCGCTTGTATCGAGAAGCCTTGCAGACAGGACAAGCATCCAAGTCCGCATATTGCTTGTGGTACAATATGCAGTCGTTTGGACAAGCGTGAATTCTACGGACCTCTAACCCCAGTGGACACAGAACCTGCTTTGCTTCGTATGTCGTCTCGGGCAATGTGTTCTCAACAGGAAGCATAGCCTTCAAAATTCCTAAAAGATCTGTGAAACTCTTGTCCGTCCATCTACTACTTGCCTTCAGCTTCATTAGGTCTAAGGTAACTGACAACTTAGTGTATTTTGCTTTGCATCCAGCGTACAGAGGCGTCTCGGAATCACTAACCAACCTGCTGAACTTCATTCCATCTCTCTCATTCTGGGCTGGGTCCTCAACGTCACGTAACATGTCTTGCAGCAAATCGTGATCCACATCAACCATTTCACCGCCAAATGGAGAAGGTATAAACATGTCATGCTCATCTTCATCTTCCTGATTATGCGCACCACTTCTGTCTGCTGCTGCTCCACTTCCTGATTCTTGCTCTCCATGCTTCACCCAACATGTATAGCCCTTCATGAATCCTCGTTGTATCAGATGACTATGTACGTCCTCTCCGCTATCAAATATATTCTCATTCTTGCAATCTGCACATGGACAACACATGTAATCACTGTTTCTTCTTTTCTGATCCTCATCCGCGGCGTTCATAAAATTTATTACGCCCTTTCTATACTCCGTAGAATGACGTTTACATCCAACTTCGATCAATTGCTACAAAATAAAAAAAACAAATTACATGCACATCTTATAAGATCAGTAATGCTAAAGTAAGACGTGATGAAATTGCTCAATTAATGATTAATATTACTCACTTGATTGATCCATTTTGATCACTTTTGGGAATTTTCTGTTTTCCTTGGAAAAAGACAAAAAATCGCCCCCTACAGCCTCCCACCAAAATAGTGAACAGTGAGATACATTTACACTAGGTGGTGGGGGGTATTTATACTGTGCGACAAATATATGTAACGGCCCTAAAATAATCAACCGTGACAGGCATACAAGTAATCTCTATCGGGCCTTAATAAAAGCCCGTCAAAAAAGAGTGTCATCCGTGACGGGTTTTAGTTTTATGCCGATATACCATGGCTGTGCGACCATATCTCAATCGGGCGAAACTTCGGCCCGATTGAGATTACTTCCTTGTGACGGCCCGCAAATTCCAGTCTTGTTATGGGCCGCCACAAATGGAAGGATTTGTGTATGGCCTTCAAACATAATCTTTAATATTTTTTGAAACACAATAAATACGCAGGCGCGCATATATATACACAAGGGCACTCACCCTATGAACAAAATTAACTTAGTATCATATTGCGTTCACTTCTTAATTTTTTGTTAATTACTCTCTCTGTTTGAAAATATAAGGGATTCTATGATTTTTGTAAATCAAATTATCCTATGGTTGACCAAAATTATTAATAAACTAATATTTTCGATATCAAATAAGCATTAGATATGTTATGATATATGTTTTCATAGTTTACTTCTTTGACATGGTAGATGTTATACGCTTCTCTACATAATTTGGTCAAACTTAGAATAATTTGACTTGGGACAACTAAGATCCCTTTTGTTTTAGGAAGGAGGGAGTAGATTGTTTGCTAGATAAAATTAATATATAATAACAAGAAAAAGGCTTGTAAAACTCGGTACAGATTACATGCTTCCAACTTCCAAGTTCGAACAATTTCCGCAATAACAGCCTCGCAGCTCCTGATAAAACAAACCCGAAGAGGCTTCCCAGCTCACCAAATTCATCTCTTAATTATTTAACACATACACATAGATGAGCTTGAAGTACAGTATAGCATTACATGTTTATTTCACTTGAGTGAAATTAGTATTACTCACATACTTGTGTCAATTAGCAGGCAGCATTTAGCATGACTAGCATTAACCTAGCTAGCTGGTGTAAACTTCAAACTAGACTTGTAAACTTTAAGTATTAACCTAGCTATTTGTTCTTTGTCAGAAACTTCCAATTGCATAGGCACTCCATCATGGTGATGGAGGCGGCGGTGGTGGTGGACATGGTATTTTAGCACAGATTACAATTGAACCCATGCATTCCCGGCGATTGGGCTTTGGACGAATCACCTAAAACCCGCCTTCCTGATTAAAACGCACACCACACAACACAATTTTAGAAGTAGCATATGAACCTTATTTGTTGGATTAGCTTGAAAATAAACTGGTACAAGCCTACCTGCTAGAAATGCTGCCCAAAAGTACTATACACTTGTTTAAAATAAATCTTTCGATAGAAACAAAATGTAATTCTTCCTAGGAAGTTAGAATTATTGAAGCATAAAAGAAAAAATTCATTTCATAACTTGAAATGAAACATAGAGAAAATAGGCTAATGGCCCTTACAGACATATATACCTGCACCAAGTCCCAGCAAAGCAGTTGGCATAGCAAGAACCACTAGAAATACTAGCACAATCACCAAAAGAAGAGACTGAGCAGATGGCCTTAGCTTTCTCATCTCTTTGTTTCTTACTTCCACAGTTGTATTCTAGAATCCTGATAAACCTTCACCTTATCTCTTAGTAATAACTGGTGTTGCATTGCATATTGCTCTCTCTCTTATATGAACAGTCCAGGGATCTTTTTGGATATCCAATTAAAAAAGGAAAATAAAAATTATCTTATACTATATGTGGTTAGGGGCCTGTTCACTTTGATGAAAAAAAACCTTACCAAATTTTGCCATTGCCGAAATTTTGTCAATTGTGCTAAATTTTGGCAACTTGCCAAATTTTGGCAGGATTTCTTATATAGTTATCAAAATTTGACAGCAAACTAAATATAGTTATTTTTTTGGCAACTTTAACAAAATTTGGTAAGCTTGAAAATAGCATAAAAGTGAAGGCATAGGAGTTGGAACTTCCCGAAAGCACTCACTATCGCATGGGCCCTCTGAGGTTACACTTTGATCATTGACTGATTTGTCATTTTACCACCAAAAATCTACCGTCCCGTTCCTTTAAAAAAATCTACTGTCCTAGCGCCTAGCGTATTCATGTGATTCTAGGCGGATCTTCCCCTAGCAGGACAAGTGGCTACCCAGGAACTTAGTGAATAATTACCCCATCAGGAAATGGGGATTGATTAATCCACCCACCCATTTACCTGTTAACGAGAAAACAATAGCACCAAGTGCATAAACGGGTGTGGGTATGGTTTTGTAGGACCTACACCTGTAACCAACCCAATAAATAACCCTTATTTCATATACAGTAAAATGTTACTTGGCACACCGGCATTTTGTCTTGCTTTTTGTGGATCTGGGGCTCTAGGTTACCCATCATGTGCACTTTTACCCGTGTGAATGTGGGATTGAGAAAGAACTACACCCAAGTACTCCCTCCGTATTCGTAAAAGAAGTCGTTTAGGACAATGTTTAAGTCAAACCTTGAAAATATAAATCATGAATAAGTCTCAATTTGTTGAGTTTGAAAATATAAAAATTATATGAATAGATTTGTCTTGAAAAATACTTTCATAAAAGTATACATATATCACTTTTTAATAAATATTTTTACAGAAACAAGAAGTCAAAGTTGTGTTTTGGAGACCGTGTCGCTGTCCAAAACGATTTCATTTACAAGTACGGAGAGAGTATGTATTTAGGTCCTCCAGTTGGAGGGTTTCTTCATTGTGGAGATTGGTTTTATGGTGGCAAAATCTAAACGAGAATCCTCATGCTCAGTAGCTTGATTTGAAGAGAAAAAATCGGCCTCCTTGCTACTGCTGCATGCATGCAAAATGAGTACCAACTAGTTTCTTTTTCTTTTTTCTCATCACTTTAAATTTTTTTTCTCCTAGACTGCTTATATCCGATTTACGATCCGATCGTACCATTGAATTTGTTGCGATTAAATCTTTACAATAAGATATCACATGATTATATTTTGATAAAAAAAATATATATGGTTCAGACCGTTAAAATTTAATGTTTCATATGTGATAGCGACATATTTCAAAGTGTGAATTCACTGTGTTTCACAAAATTTATTTAACTCCTTGCCCCTACTCTCTAACCATGCATGCATGTATTTAGCAACCTTCAAAATGATTTTTTTCCCATAAACTACTTATCTAATCTACGATCCGATAGCACTGTTGTATTTGTTATAATTAAAACTTCACAACAAGATAGCACTGTTGTATTTGTTATAATTAAAACTTCACAACAAGATAGCACTGTTGTATTTGTTATAATTAAAACTTCACAACAACATATGTTTCAGTCCGTTAATACTCAATATTTCATAAGCGATAGTAACATGTTTCACCGTGTTTCACAAATTTTTTAAATGCTCCAGTGACTGATTATTTTTGTTTTACCATATATAACTTAATGTTTCACTGGTGGTCAACCGTAACTTTTGACCAACCGATTTTCTTTAGAGGATCGGGCGCCGATTTGGAGGTAAGTCCAAATCTAACGGCCGTAGACACATTGCCATATAACCATGAGATGTTGTGGTAGATACGGCCCATTCTTCCACTAAGGTAACTATAGGGTCATATGAATGGAGAGATTAGGATTGATTAAATCATGCTCCATTACTATACCCAGACCTCAACAATTGAATAGTTCATTCATCTTAAGAAAAAAAAAGGAAATTGAATAGTTCTTAACAAATCCTGAACATTTGAATATAATAACATTCAGCTCAAAACGTCTTACTTATAATCTGAACGAGAACTACCAGCAAACAAATTGCATCCGTAGCATTTGATTCCTTCAATTATGAAATGTTGCAGATTGAAACAAGGAAATCATTTGATCTTTCTTTTAGATACTTCAACATTCAAAAGAAACAACTTGCAGATTGAAAACGAGAAAAAGAAAACATTTGAGCTCCCTTTTAGATGGTGCGGCTTGCAGTACGAGAGATTTCCAGGTACCATAAACATAATGAGTGCGCCTCTCTTTTCTTCCATAATCCATCTGAAGATTGTGACTCACCTTTTGCACATTAGCAGCTGCACTGCTGTGGCTGATTTTGCCATGTACTAGCGATTGCCAATAGAACAGTTGTTATGGATCCAAAACTCACCTAGGATCCCATTGAAACGTAAGAAAAGAAAACAAGAAACACATTGCGTTTGGGCATTACAGTACGAAAATTTGAAGAACGCATTGACAGGCGAAGGTATGCCATCTCAAGCTCTTGAATTGATTTATGTTTTACAAAGCTGACCGTCTCAGATTATGCTCCCGGAGGCCGGAATTACATTTATAACATACACAATAAGGGTAGCAGGTATATAAAGCATTGCAGTAGGTAGAGTGAGGACAGAAATAAATATCTCCACTTGACGTCGAATAAGCGTAGAGCAATCAAGTGTTGAGGTTCTGGAACAGCTCAGGCAGATGGGCGTTCGTGAGCTTGGTCCGGCGTGTGATCTCACGCTGCTTCTTCTTAGGCTTAGCCTTGGGCTGCACCCCATTGATCTGTGCTGCAGCCCGCCGTTTAGCTGTGTTGGTCATGGGCTTGATGCCATTCTTCTGGAGCTCCTTCTCGATATCCACCATGTCCCGCGGTAACTCCATCTCCCGGAAGAGCTGCTTCAGGTCATCGTCGACCTTGATCTTTGCCTTTGGGTCGTTAGGATACACAATGTCCTCCTGGGAATCCATGTTCGATAACAGCCAAACTTCACCTGCTGCCTTCAGTGCCTATAGAACAGCAGTACTCAGATTACCAATTGTTGATCATATATGAAGTAGGTTGCACGCACATTTTGACTACTAGATTTGCATGGCTCTAATCTGTGTCGGGACAATACGCCTACATAGTGCAAATAAGGCCAAAAGTATCTAATAATGGCACAAATGAAGAGTACAAGAAATGTTTTTAAAAATGCATCTATGGACAGCTTTATGGACAAAGATCTTGCAGGGCTGAACTCCCAATATTATACATTTCTGTTTTACTATTGCAAGGAAATTTCTGGAGTTCACACAGACATCATTTTCATGATGGATACACATTGAAAAGACATAGGACCTAAAATAACTTTCTGTAAGGGGCGTAAGTATATTTCAACTGTATCATGCCAATTGAATTTTACCAAAAGAATGGACGTAAAGCAATAATTGGCAGATAAATCCAGTCTTGTACTACCATTAACTGTACTCAGGATGCGCTCGTTTCAGCTTATAGGATTAGATTCTCCTCGTTTTCCGTTAGCACGCTTTTCAAACTACTAAACGGTCTATTTCGTGCGAAAACTTTCTATAAAGAAGTTGTTTAAAAAAATCCAACAAATTTATTCATCAAAAATTTATATATTAATACTTAATTAATCATATGTTAATCACATTTCTCGTTTTACGTGCGGTTAATCAGCCCATCCTAACTACTGAAATGAGCACACCCTCAGTGTGATATTCCAGAAACTCAGGGGAGGAAAGGAGAAAAGTATTCAGCATCTTAGGGAGGACAAAAAAGGATCCAATTAAAAACTAAAATGGTGAGCGTTGAAGAACAGTAATATCTAAGACATCGCCTCAAAGCATAATGTAAGAAATTTGGCTCACCTGCAAATCTTCCATTACAGTTGGGTACGCATCCTTGACTTCCACCACAGCAAGACCCTCCGGATACTTTCTTACCAAAACAAGTAGTTGATCTTTTCCCTTCAAATCATGCTTGGACTGCACGTTTATCAACAATGATTAACGCGTGAAACCGTAGAAGTAAATCAACTTCAAACAAGATGGGAAGCCTATGTAAACTTAAGACTAAACATTTCTGATGTTCTCCCATAAATAATTGTCATCATTATATCATTTTCCCCGAAACAAGCATTAAAGAAAAACATTTCATTATCAATTACAAATTCCATGGTCATGACAGGTTTAGCTTGCCACACCAGTGATTAATAGTCGAAATGCAATATGATATTAAGGCATTAAGCAATACTTCTGAATTAATTATGTTTAGTGGGGAACATAGGATGAGAGCCATTAATATTATTTCAGGTAGGAAGGATAGACAATTGGGTAAATATACCAATGAAACAAGTATTGATGTTAGCAAGACTAGTAGTTACTGGAATAACAAACTTCTTTACCTTGTAAGAGAAACGTCTCCCATCATAATGTACTTTAGGATTGTTCCTCAGACTGTCAAAGACAGACTTATTCCCATGGATATCAACATAAGTTGTTTCATTTATTTGCTCCGCAGTAAAAGCTTGTCTTGTCTGCAGATTTTGAAGACATCTCAGTTACAACAACAATACGCAATACAGCATTGCTATTTATAAGGAAGTTCACAAAACATTTGTTTTGCTATCATTCATGAAGACATTGGTAAACCATTTTGACAACTATAACTAAAATGCAGAAAATGGACCAGCGCGGAAATCATCATAGTGCTCTTTAATACTGTGATTCTATAAATTACATAAGTTACTTTTAACAACTTTTGTAGCTACAAGTTGTATGGGTTGTCCCTTACAAATTTTCTTCCTGAGCATATAATCCTGGCTGCACCACTGTATGCAGCATTAATACAAATTAAATGTGTACTTCACATATTGCTTATAATAGTTATTGTCAATGCATCCTTGTATCTTTAACCAGATATCAACATGCACATCATTGTTGAACACAGAATAAGCAGCAAGGCACCAAATTTTGCATATCTGAATTTGCTGGCTGAGTATCTTGCATGCACCAAGGGGTGTGAAACAATGATAAATAACAGAACAAAGCAAAAGGTAAACGTCTTATGCACTCTCATATAATATGTTAACAATTCAGGCTCCATTGATCCAAAAAAAAAAAGAAGTACTAATCAAGGGCATAATATTCTAATATGGTAACAGATTATACAGAACCATTGGCATTTACTGGCATATAAACTCAATCAACATGGTGACTTGCAGGATCATTGGAAGACATTACATACCAGAACTGGGGGAACATTCCTGTTTATACTATTATGGAAAGGAAAATGAAACAAGGTTGTAGCTTAGTGAGATTTACCTTGTACAGCAATTCAATGACAAGTTTGATCTGTGCTCCAATAGGAGATTTCCTAACTGAATTGATGTGTTGTAGCCTTTCTGTATCATTTGAAAACTTAATAGGTTGTAGTGGCCTTGCTGGAGCGGATGGAGCATTAACCGGTTGGGCCCTGTGCTTTGGTTTTGAGGTCGATGCAGCTATGCTGGCCAAAGATGATTGGCACCTCTCTTGCTGCTGCTTAAATTTGGAGAGGCTATCCTTGAGATCCATCTAAAATTGACATGTTTGGTAAGTGATAGGAATAAGAACAAACGATGAATAGAAACAGCTGAACAGGAAAATGCACACTGTTTACTTTGGCCTTCTCAGTAAAACCTATGAGATAAAAGGTTAAAGCACATGGTGTGAATGGACCAAAGCAGGTTTTGACAACAACAAATTAATCAGCTGGTATCTTAACATATTGACAACAATTCAGCTTCAAAGGATAAGCTACTGCAGATAAGCTCAAGACTGCCACCAAGAGACACCACGCAGCCAAAATATACTTATGCTCAAACATTTTCAGTAAAAACTTCCCACATGGTTACTCATTTACGTTCTCGCAACCACATCAATTTCCAATCAATCGTATGCTCCTCCCCGTTGCAAGGCAGAAGCAGCTATAGGCCCTCGAATTCGCGTCCGAAATGGCCAGTCAGTTTCGATGAAAATTTCTGATATGGCTCCTTATTTACATTATTGCAATCACAGTAATTTGGATTTTTGGAAACAATCTCATAATATGGGTACGTCTTGCAGTAAGCCAGCACTAGCTATGAATTTTGTGAGGGAACAAAGTGTCTGTTGTTACTAGTATGGTAAAGGCATATAGAAAAAGCTTCCAGATCTACAAGAGAAGCCAGGGTTAACGCAAATTCGAGGTGACCGAAAAGCGTGCCTAGGGATGAGAAGGACGTGCGATTTCGTACGGATGGTCACCGGCGCGGGAGGATTCCGCGCGGAAGCACAGACGCCCGCTGCTCGCGCGGGATTGGAGATCGGCGCGCGGCGGTCGAACTCGAGGTCAAGGGGACGAACGGGGAGATCGACTAGGGTAAAAGAGAGAGAGAGGCCAATCACCAACCGCAAACCCACCAGAAGATCTCGCGCGCTCGCGCGCGCACCAGATCGGGGATCAGCTAGGGTTTCGTACCGGATCAGCTGCGCTTTCCGGTTGGTACGGGTACGGCGGCGGGCGGGCGGAGGCGTCGGAGGAGGAGGGGATGGGGGTAGAGGAGAGGAGCGCGGCGATCGGATCGGGGATTGTCACCGGAGGCTTCGCCCCGCCGGCGAGCACGGGGTGGGTGGAGGCGGCGGGAGGGGGGAGAGCGCCGCCGCGGTCGCTGCTCGGCCTCTCTCTCGCGGAGAAAGAGGGAGGAGGAGGAGGTGGAGAGAGATGGGTGGTGCGTTCTCTCGTTTCATAAAGGCGAGGCTTCGTTTGCCGTGGTTGAATCCTGGCCGTCCGTTTACGGAGCAACGGATGGGATTTGCGAGAGGGCGTATTACACCGGATTTTAATAATTTTGGTTTCAAGGTCCTGTTTGGCTGGCACGCCGACCTCCGAGCTCTAAGCTACACATCTCTCCTGAGGTAGAGCCCACAGCCAAACAATTTCTTTTTTTCAGCCAAAATGTTTCGATTTCACGTAAAATAGAAGTGGAGCTAGCAAGAATGCTCTCATAAAATGAACTGCAGAAATAAAACTGGGTTTAGTCTGCTTCACAATTTCACTCTAAATCTAAACTCTTAAGTTAAAATTTAAAGTTGGAGTCCAATCAAAAATGCTATAAGGTTATAATTGTCCACACGATACAAAGAAGAGAATTTTTTTTCTTTTTTCAATTTTCGTGGTTCGGTTGAAACCATATTCTCTCAAATTAATGTCGTCATTTTTTCTCTTTTACTCTTCTTCCGGTAGTGCGCTTTTGTTTTGTTATCTTCGTCTTGTCGATGACACCTGACTGTGAGGTCACATCTCCTCCTAGGCTGCCTTTTTTTTTGGAAGACCATTTTTCTTTTAAAGATGTTCCAAAACAAAATAACGCTTGAAACTTTAGCGAATGCCACAAAAATATCAAGGAAACAAATTTTGGGCACTTGAAATATGTTTTTTTAGAAAAACTAATTGGGATTAACTTTAAAAAAAAGCAACATGGAAATTTTTTGGTTTTAAATATTTCATAAAATAATTTATAGTTGCTATTTCATTGTTATTATTCATAGTTCTGCAATACATATATGTGGATATACGAGATATTTTCATCTGAAATATTTCATTTAAGCTATGAATGGAGACATTGCAAACTAACTAAAAATTTTCATATCATAAAGTGTTTACTCATCCATTAAAAACTAAATTAATAATCATGTTTTCCTTGATTTGTAGAATATCCTTATAATTTTTAGTTACATGAGAACATAATGGTCTTTTAGGAGAAATATATGCAATGGTCAACTGACTTTGACCAAAGATAATATTCTGAAAAAAAAAAGAAAGGAAAGAAAGGAATTTTTTAGGTTGTGGTCGCAAAAGAGAACTGAATAGCCACTTAATAGTGGCGAAAGAAAGAAGTTAAGAAAATGATGGTGAAAGAGATAATACGGTATTCAAGGAATGGCAAAAGGAGAGCTTTTCCTATAAAGAAAAGGTACTCATGGCCTACTAAAATTTGTTGGATGCAATCAAATTATGCAATCAAGCGTCCATTTCCTCCAAGCGGAAGTTCTGAAAAATCCATATCCAAGCTCTACCTCCCTAATTGAATGTAGAACTTTAAAAATACTAAGAGTATGGTTCAAGCCGTTTCTATTTTAATTAGAAAGAAGAGAATGGGGATGAAAGAAAAATATAGAGATTATAGTTTATTTATGATTGGAGAAAAGGAATGAGCTGTGGTTGATGTGTAATTGGGGAACCCCTAAGGAATGGAGATGACTGGGGCCTCTCTCACAAGTCACAACTAAAATCTCAAACGCGAACACAAATGAAATAATCGAATTTCATATATAAAGAAAAGGAACCACTTATATTCTCTTTTTTTCTTATATATATGAAGAATTATTTCTTGTCCCTTCCATCACCAATGGTTAGGACTCCGATACAGAGACCTCGTCACATGAATCAGAAATCCCCTTGTTTCAAAAGAGAACGCCATTGTATCTCATAAGGCATTGTCGTAAGAAAGAGATTGGAGAGAATTGAGGAAGATGTGTGTTATTATTTCTCTTCAAATCCCGTTCAATCCACTTGGTGGGAGAATTAAACGAAAGGGTGAGCAGCGTTTATTTTCTACAGGAATCAATTCAACCCCACCACGAATTACAAGGGGAAGAAAAGAGCCTCAAAGCGGTGGTACATGTACCATCTTCTATGTAACAGAACATAACCGGTAGCACATGCATCCCATTCACGTCTGCAACACTGTTCTCCTGTTTCCCTCAAATCATCTCTTATCCTCTTGTGGATCAAACAGTACTCCTTTGCAACGACCCACAATTTTGGCCCCAACCCCATCACTCAATTTTCCTCAAGATCTTGCTTTTCATGATCAATATCGATAGTGCGATAGTGACTGGTGATCAGTTCAAGTATATTAAAATGAACAGAAAAGGTTCTTGACGAATAATGACACACCAGAAACAGCAGCTCAATTGCTAAAGTTCACCTCATCTGATGCTACAGCTCAAATTAATAGCTGAGGAAATTAACTAGTCCAGTAGCCACAAAATTATTCAGATCTTGGGTTAAATACCACTTAAGTCCTGACTAAGTTCAGCAACTTGATCAAGGGTGAAAGAAGTACCAAGAGCAGACGGACGACGATGACAGGATTACAAAGTGCTACAAACACTGCACATCAAGTTCTAAGCAAAAGGATAGTTCAGATGAAAAATCCCATTTGGAATGGGGAGAAAACCCGGACGACTAAACCATCAAAGGTCTCAACGAAATTACGCCTCATCAGCGTAGGCTGGCTCGAGGATGGCGGCCTCGGCTTCCTGCACCTCCTTCTCAGTCTTCCTTCCCTTCTTGGACTTGTAGTAGACGCTCATAAAGGTACCGACGGCACCATACTTTTGGCGGCAATGCTCGTAGTGAGAAGCATCAAACATCCTCCAGAAGTCCTTCTCGTTGAGCTCAGATACAGCGTACTGTGGCTGGTAGCTGTGGTTCTCAATCAGCCACTGCTCCAGCCTGTGGACAGCTAGAGCGCCATTGAACTCCTCGCCCCTCAGGACAGCACCAGGAGCATAGTACACACCAACATCGGTGAACATCTGGGCATAGCTAGTGTCACCTTGCCTGTGGTGGTGCTCAAAGCCAGGCTCTGGGTACACCATGGTTTTCACAGGGAGCTTGTAGAGCCGGTGCGGGCACAGCCACAGTGGATAAACCTAATAACAGAAATTATTAGTGAACTGTAAGCAGCAGTAGATTGCAGTACACTAAAATAGTTGGTACAGGCACAAGAATAGTTAGGTGAACTTACATCAAGCCCAAAGATATAAGTAATAGAATGCATGTGCAAGCATAACAATTTATGGCATGGAATATTCATTTCTAGAAGTAGTTATATAATTGAAAAGCCTCGTTTTAAATGCATATTTGATACTTAAACATCAAATATTCGATCCGAAGTGAAACACACCTCCATTTCCTTGTGAACAAACTCAAGAGCATCTCCAACTTTGTACAAGGGAACCAGCATGTCTTGAATCACATGGTTGTCATGGTAGTAATTCCTGATAGATTCACCCTGTGTGGCCTTGAGCAGAGACACCTTTGGTGGCATCAGCCAGCCCAAGAGGAACCTGAACCAGAATTGGTCGCCGAATGGCAAGATCAGCTTCCCCTCCCAGTACAGACACCGGGTGTGACGGTGGTAGTACTCTCTTGTTGGAATGTACTCCACAAACTCACCCTTCTTGAGTGCTGTCTGAGCATGTTGGTAAAACCAAGGCTTGAACCACCACCCGACACAGTTGATCTTATTGCCCTTCTTCTTTGCCTCTTCTTTGGAAGCATAAACACCAGTCATCATGACACCCTCATTTTCTGTGTACACCATTCCCTCAACGAAGTCTGGGACCTTTGCAGGATCACCATCTCGTGGTGCAAACGAATCACAATAACCTTGTGCTATCTCCTTCAGTGACCCTTTAACTGGAGTATATGTGAGCCTCATGTATTCCTTGATGGGAATGAGTTTGATCTCAGCGGAAACAAGAAACCCAAGTGTTCCCTGGGACCAGGGAATGCCATAGAAAAGGTCAGAGTACTCATTATCCTTAGTGGCTCTAACAACTCGACCGTCTGCAAGAACAACTTCCACGGCGACAACAGTGTCAGAGAAAAGACCATAGAGGTGAGAGCTCCCTTCAATACCATACCCATTGATCAGTCCCCCAACAGTAAGGTCATCAAGCTCAGCAACAACTGCAAGGGCAAGGTTCATTGGGCATGTAGCTCTGGTTATCTGGCCCATGTTGACAAGAGGCTCAACCTTGGCAACCATTCTCTCTCTGTCAATCTCAAGAATGTTCCTGAAGGCGGAAAGGTCAACCTCAAAATGCCTAGCACGCTTGTAGTCTACATTGCGCATGCCAACAGCAATCCAGGGCTTCCTAGCTGTGCAAACAAGGCCATCCTTCTTTGGGTTCCTCTGCTTGAGCCGCTTCACAACTTTTTGCACATTGTCATCATGTTCCTTCTGGCGACGTTTCTCAGATTTCATGGCAGACCAGACATCGCCCAAATAGATATTGAAGTAGATCAGAGCGGAAATGGGGAGCACCACAAAGATCACCAGAATCCATCGGAACTTTACCAAGTAGTCCACCAAAACCTTCTTCCTCTTCGGACGAACGAGGGGCTCCTGCAGATCTGCCATGGCTGCAGTCCGGCTCTAGGAACAGAACAGTTCGAGGAGAAAACAGAATTAGTTAGAGTAATGATTTTTATCAATCACCACACTGAAGCTGTATGTTTCTTGAAAATTAAAAAAAAAACAGTAAAAGTGAAAGTGAAGCACATAACAAGAACAGACCCAAAAGATTTTACATGAGAAGATGCCAAAAACAACAAATGTACATGATTATTGATTAATATCTTCTCCGCTGTATTGACACAGTTACATCCATCACACTTCCATTTTACCATCTAAAGTACCAAGTAAAGATGACGCAACAATGTCAAAGGCATATCATTCTTGCACACTGGATAGGTATACCATAATAGAACCTATTTTAAGGGGTAACAGGGCAATGACATGCAGAAGCAAAAAAAGGAGGGTGAATCAGTAATGCCATGTCAACATATGTACTACTAAGATGCAATTTGTAGGATAACTGATCCTCCCAGCTCAACATCCACATCCAAGACCAACCGCCA